AAATTTCTTTCCAAACCTGCTTGGAGAAGCTTCCTCTGCCTGCTTCTGTTTGGCCACCTCCTGCCAGTGTAAGAGCAGAGGGCCTCCAGGGCTGCTCTGTCACCCCCAACAGCATAGACCTTATTGCAGTCACTCTGGAAGTTTCCCTCTAAAGGAAGCTTATGCAGGAAACATCATGCACTGAGCAGCATGGGGACAGGGGCTGAACAGTTGGGCTGGGCTCACACTCCTGACACCCAGACTCCAGGATACTTCTCTGTCCCCACCCAGGGCAGATCCCTGATCTAGAAGTTCTCCCTCTCATTTCCAGCACATATGCTGCATGGATCCCTGGAATTCTATGTGGCAAGCTAGGGAAGAGGGAGAGCTGAAATGAGGATATAATTACCCTTTCTAAAGAGGTCAGTCCAGTACTACCCTGTGCTCCTGGGGCAAGTTCTCCAGGCTGAGGGAATAGGAGCAGGGGCTATGTCAGGTGAAGGTGGAAGTGAGGGACCTCCCAGGAGGTATAGAATGTTCCACGAGAGACACCTTGTATCCTTCCAGGATTAGACCTTGAGGCCTGGAGATCCCCAGGCAGTTAGTATTCAAGGTCAAAAGGCCAGTGACAGGAATAAGGCCCACTGTGTCATTCACAAAGCACTTCCAGACCCATCACCACAGGTGACCCTCCCAACAACCCTGTGAGAGCTGCAGGGCAGGGGCTCCCACAAAGGAGGAGTCAGGAATGTCGGGATTTTAACACCTTCTCCAAGTCAGGACCAGGATATACTGTCCCAGAACTAGCCTATATTCCCTATGCTTCCTCCCACACCACAGCTTAGGGTGACTGCCAACTTGTGGTCAAAGACCCTCACTTTCCAATCCCCACGAGGGGCTGTGTAGTGGGGAGGATAAGGCTCTCTCCTCTGACTGTCTCCTCCAAGATCCTGTTTTCTGAGGAAGGTCACTCTGGAAACTGTCAGCCTGTGCAGATGGGAACCTGGACCTTGTGGAAAGACGACGTGAAGGTCACACCTGGCAGGTACCAGCACTGGAGAGCAAACCTCACCTTTAAAAACTCACACTTTTTATTTTAAATTTATTTTTATTTTTAATTTCTATGGGTACATAGTAGGTGTATACATTTATGGGGCACATGAGATATTTTGACACAGGCATGCAATGTGTAATAATCACATCAGGTTAAATGGGGCATAAAAGCAGGGGAAATGCCAGATGCTTTTAAAACCATCAGATCTCATGAGAACACACTATCATGAGAACAGCATGGGGGAAACTGCCCCATGATTCAGTTACCTCTCACTGGGTCCCTCCCATGACATGAGGATTATGGAAATTACAGTTCAAGATGAGATTTGGGTGGTGACACAGTCAAAGCATATCACCTTATAAAATGAATAATGTGAAAATAGCAGTGGGCCTGAGGCCTGGCCTCTGCCGTGGGATGCCCCTTCTTGAGGAAGGCCTGGCTTCTGTGCCATGCAGAAGCCTCCCTGTGCTTCCTGTGGGCTGGGGGTGAGCCAGGTCCTCTTGGGGGAGCTGGGAACTGTGGGACAGGAGGGTCCCTGGACTGGGGTCTCCCTGTGCCTCCTTACCCCATCAGTGAAACACCAGAGGAGCCAACTCAGCAAACCTCAATGTGTGGTCTTTCCTGGTCCTGAAGGGAGGAGCATAGGTGCTCAGGGCTCCCTGAGCTGCCCTGGGGCAGAACACTGGGCAGTGGCCAGTGCTTCCCCAACATCTTCCCCATGCACAGATGCCTGGTGTACACACTTCCCTTAACCCTGCTCAGCTGGAGCTCAGCCTCCGTCCCAGGACCTCTGCCTCCTCCTCCAGGGCAGGTAAAGAAAACCCAACTCCAAACCCATGGAGAATCCCCATCTTGACTGAGGCCCTGGCTGGGACTCAGCCTCTTGTCAGCCCCTTGAGGAGCTCCATCTTCCCCTGTTTCCCTGCCCCTTGGGACCCTGGGCCTCTGGGAAAGAGGTGAAGGTGTCATCCACTCAGCAGGTGCCGCATGATCTTTGGAAAGGATTTGTGTAATACCTGCTCCTGGTGGGATAGGAGCCTCCAGAGCTGGGCAGTACTGGGGCTATAGAATACTGAGAAGCCCCCGACCCATCATGCATCAGAGCCCACTCCCAAGGTGTGGAGCCGTTAGCTGGAAGGACTGGGCAGTGGCAGGGGACCCCGGACCCTGAGGCCTTCCTCCCTTCCATCAGGCGACCCTACCATGTGGCCTCAGCTCTAGGGAAGTGGGCCCTAGCTGGAGGCACTGCACGGCAGCATCCTGGGTAGAGGTGCCGGGAGGGCAGGCCTGCTTTCGAGGCTGTGAGGCAGGGCAGAGGCAGGCAGTGGCCAGTGGAGGGAACGGGGTGGGTGCCAGGGGGGCTACGTGGCCATCTTCTGGACTTAGGGTGGGGCTGGGAGACATGGGATGCGCAGACACTGCTGTCTCAACTTCATTGGCCCATATGTGGGCTGGGAGGACAGCTGGGTGTGTGGCCAGTTGGAAGGTAGGAGGACTCTTGGGGAAGTGACAGTCACCTGTACGAAGTCAGGGCTGGAGACCTATGGCTCTGGGACACACGGGGCGGCCAGGGGGAGGCCGCAGTGCCCTCTGCTGTTGGGGATGAAAGGTGTCTGCCTTGAAGTGAAAGCGTCCCTGTTCAACTCTGGGCTCCTGTGAACCCTCAGCAGGGATGTCCTGAAGGCTCCTAACAAGCTGGGATACAAGGAAGGTACCTTGCCTGGAAGTCAGGATTGCCCAGCCAGGGTGGCTGTCCCATGGCCTGACTGTGTGAGGCCCTGGGGGCAGCTGACCACCTACCCTGCAGGGAGTGCCTCTCCTCGGACAGCAGCTGATCCAGTGCCCAGAAGGTTGTCTTCATCCGGCAGATACAGGAGGAGGATGGCAGTTAGACAGCTCATGTCTCTGTGGTAGCCCACCTCCTGCAAGAGCCAGAGTCACCATGGAAGGATGTCACCTGAGAGAGCTGAGGCCATGTGGGAGGCTTATGTCACTGGAGAGGACAGAGGTCATCTGGGAGACTGCCTTCAGGCCTTAGGGGATTTAGGGTGCAGACTCTGCACCCCTCCCCTGACCCTGGACATGAGGACTAAGCAAGTCACGCACGATTCAGCTGACAAGGGGCCTGGAGGGAGTTCTGTAGTGAGTGTCCAAACTCACATGGCCTGAATGGGCACAGGAAAGGATCATTCATGCCTCCTCTCCTGTGCCAGGCTGGGAAGGCCACTGTGACAGGCCTGGGGCAGCACCTGTAAACTGCACCTGCCACAAGGGCAGGCGGTGGGCCACTGATCACCACACAATGGGTCCTTTGATGGCCAGGGGCTACTTGCCAGGCACAGGAGGGTGGCTGGGTCCAGACCCCATGTGGGCAGCCCATGGAGTCAGCTCAGTGGCTCTCCCTGCCTGGAATGGTCTGGGAAGCGGGGGCTGAGCAGGAGCAGCCACCTGGGTGACCCCCTCCCTGTCTACTGTGCTCCTGTGGGGTTAAGGCAAAGGGGAAATTGGATCCCTGTCAGGTTTCCAATAAAAAG